CTGTGTTCTACTGCAGTTAGAGGCTTACTGACTTGGAGGTTTTTTTTTTATTTTTTATTTAGGAAGCTCATTCATCACAGGAGGACACAGGTGACTGCAACCTGCTTTCTTCATTTCCTGCTGAGTTGGGGACAGTCCCTGCAAGGTATGTGGCCCTGATTTCTCCTGGCTAATGAGGAAGGTGATATTTGCTGTACCCTCAGTGGAGTCCACTGTATACTGCTATGAATATAGTTGTTTCTGACCCTGTGGGATGGGTGCAAATTTCCCTTTGATATGGATCTGTGGAGGGACATGAGTCCCTGGGGAGCCATTGTAGTCAACAGTGATCTTAGAGCTGTGGGTGCACCAGACTCAGAGACTTCATGACCTATAATGGGATGGTGATGGCCCTTTATGATGGAAAATGTGGCTGCTGGAGGATACTCACAACCCAATCTGTGTGAGGAGCAGTCTTCCTGTGTGTCAAGGAAGCTGGACAAAGACCCTAAGTCTGATGCTCCCTCTGTCCCTATACTTTAAAGAAGTCACCTTTCTGGAAACTAGACTCCAGGTGTCATACACCTGTCTGTGGACCTGAATCTTCCTTTGATGAAATTGACAAGAGCTCTGTGAGGAGTCCCTTCAGTTATCCAGTATTGCTTTATGTACAGATTTTTGTCCCGTAGCTTTTAGCAGATGTGGGCCCTGAAGGTGTAGTAGGCAAAAGGGTGAACAGACACCATAGCCAAAGATGAGCAGTTACAGACCTGGATACTCCACAAAGGAGGAAGAATCCAACCTTGTTCTATGCCTGGTCACAGGGCCCTGGGATCCCTCAGGACAGACAGGCTGCCCTGCTGCCCCAAGACTCCAAGTGCCTCTGGTCATTCACCTGAGTCTTGTTCATTGAAGCATTACAAAGGAGGGAAGCAGGTGGGGCCTAGGGAGGAGAAGGATGTGAGCTGCTGCCTAGTCATAGACAGGTTGGGGATCCTACAGTGAGTCGTCTGTCTGCATCTCACCCAAGTAGTGAGACCATTTTTAGAAACACCTGCCTTGAGATAAGACAGGTCTCCACAGGGTTGGAACCCTGTTTCTGGCTGCCATCACAGTGCGCATCCTGGTGAACATTAGAGTAGAGCTGACTGACCCATTGAGTGACCCAGGGTAACTGGCAGGGATGGAGCTGGATGTGAGGTAGTTGTGGTTTATGCAGTGCTGAGGCCTCTTCTGCATGAGGGGAGGGCCATTTGAGGTCTCACTCTGTGCCTGATGGAGCTTGCCTTTTTCTGCACCATATATAGGTTGTGTCCCAGGGTTAAAGGCATCTATTCCTTAATTGTGGCCAATGGTCAGAAAGGAGCCAGTGGGTCCATGAGTCTCAGGGGGTCAGTCTAAAATCTCTTAAAGAAGGCCCAAGGGAGCCACCATCTTTGAAAAAATATGATCCAGAGAATAAGAATTTCAGGGTAGGCCTTGTAAGTGTGCTTAAGACACAAACAAACATGAAACTGTTTTTCCTATCTGAGACTACAGTCAAATTATGCAGGTTTCCAAAGCCTGGTGTTTTCTGGTGTAGTTGATGGAATCATTACAATATAAGATGGAGGTGTCTTCTAACTTGATGTAGGCTTATGAGGCAGCTTTGGTTTTTTTCTTTGATGGATATGCAGGGATGTGCCTGTGTTATGTTCCTACTTATCTCAAAATCTTCAGTAAGTTCTTGATAATTGTAAAACTTGCTCTGAGGTGTTTTGTGGGAAGTTAGAAAGTCAAATATAACAGTTTAGTTGGCTGGGAGAGCAGTGCAACTTCCTATCTGAGATAGACTGTGGGCATCCTGAAAACTATCCAGGACAGTTTGAAGGACAACTCTATACTCATGAGGACACTGTGGGCATTGAGGTGGCAATGTATTAGGGTTCTCTGTCCCAACTCAGTGTTGTAAAGGAGGAAAGACAAGAATCAGAAGGATTCCTGGGAAACTCAGATTTAGCTGAGGTAACCATCAAGAGGGCTAAATTCCAGCAATTATGGTAGATGATATTGACAAGTAATGGTTCAAAGATCATAAAAAATAAGAAAAGCTATATTTTAGCAGATACGGGTGCACAATAACCTATGAGTCTTTCTAGTTAAATGGCTAGATATGTTGACATGATTTCGGGTATGTAAGTTTTTATCACTTGAACTAATGGTTCCATAAAACATAGGCACTGTTAAGAATTCAAAAAAATGCTAAAATACATATGCTTATTTCCAACCTGAAGTAATTTTTCCCATTTGTTCTCAAGCCTCATAGTGAGCAGCAAGATAAAATTGCCTCAAATACACAAATCATACAAACTTGAATTTATTTGTTTAAATTTTTATTTTCTTGAAAGGCACATACAGATACAGAGAAATAGTCCAGAATTGAATTTTGAAAAATAAGTTAAATGATTAAGTGTAAATAAAAGAATGGCTATTTTATGATTAATCTCCCCAGGGGTGTTTCCCCCTTTTCTTTTGTTTTTGAAGAAGGGTTTTAAGCATATGATGGGCCTGCTCAGCAATGGCTTTCCTGCAGGATTATGGGGAATGCCATGAGTAAGTTTAATATCTCATAATTGACAAAAATGATTGAATGCAGAAGAGATATAGGTGGGCCTATTATCAGTCTTTAATTGAATAAGTTTGTCTATGACAGCCATGATTTTTCCTTTGGAGAAATAGTTTCTTTATAGCAAAGATAAAAGGAAATTTTATGTATATTTTTATAATTCATATATTCTTTTTGCCACATTACAAACTTATACACTTTAAGAAAAAAGAAGTAGGGGGCACAAGTAACAAATCTTACATTATGGATAATGCTTTACTTGTCAAGATAAAACTAATGTAAATGGTTTATACCATCATCTTCCTCCAAATAGATTTTTATAAACAAAAGTCTGGGCTTGATTTATTAAAAAAAAATTGAACACAATGACATAGCAAGTAGATTCTGTGAGAACTGAGCCTGGATCAAGGTATAACTATTTTTAATTAGGCCTCCATCTTGTAACTTGGGCCTGACCAGGCACTGAACTCTGAGCCAGAAGCTCCTAAAAGTAAATAAATGAACTCCCCTTGCAATAAACTCTCCTAGCAAACGCTGATTAACAGATAACAGAGAAATACCTAGAGTTCCTGGTGTCTTCTCAGGGCAGATAAGGTGATTGATAGCTACCCAAGACCCTGCAGTTCAACAAGTACACCCCATCAGCTCAGACCCCATGCTTCGGCCAATCAATTCAAAAGCATCAACCCCAAAGCCCTCCAACCACCTTTAGTAGGTCTGTTCCCACCACTGGATGCACTAATCAATTCTAAGAGATGTCCTTTGAATTTCCCGTGGGATGAGATGATTTGCTAAATGGTACCATGATGTATAGAATGTCTCTGACACCCTATAAAAACCCTGTTAACTGAAGGGTCGGGCTCTCAATTCAGACCCACTGCTTCGGTGTTGATTGAGAGTCCAGGTCCAGACCTGCAATAAAATCCTGTGCTTTACAGCAGTATCGGCTCCTTGGTAGCCTTTGGGGACAACTGAACTGGGCATAACAATTCTCCTTTAAGTGGAGTTGTCCAAATGTAATCTGAATGGGTATTAATAATAACATGTAAAGGTACCTCCTTCTTTGAAGACCTGTTCTTTCCACTGGGATCTCACTCACAGAGATCTTTCATTTAGGTTTTTTTTTTTTTTTTTTTTTTTTTTGCCAGAGTGTCTTGGCTTTCCATGCCTGAAATACTCTCATGGGCTTTTCAGCCAGATCGGAATGCCTTTAGGGCTGATTCTGAGGCCAGAGTGCTGTTTAGGACATCCACCATTCTATGAGTCTGCTGAGTATCTCGCTTCCCATGTTGGATCACTCTCCCCTTTATTTATTCTATCGGTTAGTATTAGCAGGTACTAGACTTGTTTATGTGCTTCCTTTGAAAGAAGGAGGTACCTTTCTCTGAAGGGAGGAGAGAACCTCCACTTTGAATATGACCTTGTCTAAACAAGATAAGAGTCGGTGAACTCAAAAGGCTTCCATAGCCTTGGAAACTCATGACTGGTGCATAGGGAGATTATTGATGCCATAAACAGGAGTGTCAATTTCTAAAGTCAACAACAGGAGTCACTGTGCACTTACTCCTCATGTAGGATCTCTATCCTTAATGTGCTGTACATTGAGACTTAATGCTATAATGAGTACTCAAACAGTATATTTGCTTTGTGTTTCTATGGGGGTGCAAACTGTTGAAATCTTTACTTAATGTATACTAAACTGATCTTCTGTAAAAAAAAAAAAAAAGAAGAAATTATCAATTCCCAACTTGACTCTCACTGGGATTAAACATGACAATAGGTCTGATCTGATTTCATCATCATTTAAAAAATCATCTATTATTTTTCACTTTATGTTTGTGTGGGAGCAAACTGTTGAAATCTTTACTTAATGTATGCTAAACTGATCTTCTGTATATAAGAGAATCGAAAATGAATCCTCATGTGAATGGAAGGGAGAGGGAATGGGAAAGGGGAGGGATGCGGGTGGAGAGACGATATGGGGGGGAAGCCATTGTAATCCATAAGCCGTACTTTGGAAATTTATATTCATTAAATAAAAGTTAAAAAAATAATAATAACATGTAAATAAGAGAAGGATTTTGACAAAGGACATGAGTTATGTCCATTTGTCAAAGTTCATTGGCATGATGTGTGCTGGCCTGCAGCACAAAGAACCTGGTTTCCTGAAACAGAAAGTGGGAATGAGGGGACAAGGATGCAAAGAATGGAGCCAAGACAAGTCCTGATCAAGGCTCCTTTATTCAACAAACCCAGTAGTATTTAAACATGACCAGTTGTATACAAGAAGGAGCACAAAAGATTTACATATCAAAAAGACTAAAGAGTTCGGATAAGGTTCTTCCTCTTAACAGAGGTGTGACTGATTATCTACATCATCTCTTGTGAGAAGTTTAGCAGTGAGATAAGGTTCCTGTCTCTTCCTGGAATCTCCTTAGCCTAATTGTCTGTGTCTCCATTCATATGTTTAAGTGTAAACAAAAGGGGCGACTGCCTGTGGCTGCCCACAATGATGGCCTTGAGGGTTGACAGCAGCAAAAGGAAAATAATGAGGATGAGGAGTTTGATCACATTGGGAACAATTACAGATTGTTTCAGGAATATCAGGAAGAGGAATTTTAAACTGTTTATGGAGAGATTTAGCTGATTAATGAAAAATTCAGGACTGAAGAGGATCAGTAAGTAGGACACAGACATGTAAAGCTTCATCCACATGTTTGTTGCCTTCTGAAAGAAAACCTGGTAAAGAGGTGTGACTGTGAATATAGCAGCATGTAAAGGGATTGGCATAGCAGAAAGTGTAAGGTTAGTAAAAAATGGCTAAGTAAATTAAGATCAATGGCAGTGTTGTGGGAAAACAGCAGCAAAGAAATTATTATTACCATAGATTTTTGTCTCATATGTGTGGGGAGCAACTCGGACTAGACTGTTACTGGAATTAAGACTTATTCTATGCATCTGCTCTCCCACAATATGGCGCTGAGAAGGGAGTAACAACTTCTACGCAGCTGCCTCTTGCCAACTTGAGTGATGACCTGCAGGAGCTGATCCTGCTCCTGATTGGAGGAGAGCAGCGTACTTGGTGTGTGGGTAGCAGAGTTGGGATTGGTGGAAGAGGACTATAAAGGAGGAGAGAGACAACATGCACCAGGAACATCTAAAGGGAACACCTGAGCAGCCCCTGAGAGAGCCGGCCGGTGGTGTGCCGCTCCCTCGCAGAAGTGAGGAAAGTGGCAGGGGGAACCGCCCTTCCACGGAGGTGGAAGGGTCAGTAGCCAACCCGGGAAGAACCAGCAGCAAACCCGGGAAGGCCGAGCAGACGAAAGAACAACGCAGGGTCTAGTGTCGCTCCTCCACGAAGAGGGGAGCGACAATATGGAAGAATTTCCAAGCTGATAAGGCAAAGAGAAAAGCAATGTTTAAAGGTTTAAAAGCAAGATTTACTAGAGTCAAAGACCTCCAGCCAGAATGACATGAAAGTGGGCTGTAACAGAAGCAAAACCCAAGAGATTCCCTGGCACCAGCACCAGAGGTTTTTTAAGTACAATTTCTTAAGTACAATTTTAAAGGAAAAAAACTTGACAGATTGGCATTCAGTTAAGAGGCAGGGACAAAACCCATGAAAAGACCCAATTTACAATCCTTTTCTTATCTGGCTTGCTTATGATAAAACAAAACAAACTACAAAAAAAAAAATTACAAGGGTGGGATGCCTAATTTGTTTTCACAATAAACTGTGAGCTCTGGAGCTCCCTACTTGCCTGCTATTCTCATGGTAAATTTGTGAGATTCCAAAGACTGGGCAGGCAGGCAATTCTGACCTTGCTAAGGACGACTCTTTGGAGAAAGGAAGCATTTTACACCCCCAATTCCACTGAGACTACACTGATTGCCTATTAACCCATCTGACTTCTCACAGCAGGACTAATTTAAGCATGTGGTAAATGAAACAATAAATTATATCAAGAATCAGCAATAAAATTAAAGGGTTGATCTTTAAAGAACCCTAAGGCCAAAATAGCTGCTTTTATTTAGATCTCCTGGATTTTTATTTGGGAGATCATCCATTCTACCTTGCTGAGGGAACAGGGGGGTATTTCTTCTTTTTGCAACAGGACAATAAGGTTAATGAAAAGTGTCCCAGGATTTCCTTGGACCTGGGGAACAGTCATGTGGGTCCTTTCTTGAACGATGAGCACTTCTTTGCCAGGATTGTTACAAAATGTGTAGTCTACCTTTTTTTCATTAACAAACTTTTTTTAAATATGATTACTGGCCTTAAATTTAAGTAATTCTGTTGCACTAAAGATCAACTTTAAGGCAAAAGGATCACAGTTAATGTGCTCATGGTGGGGACCATACTTCCCACTCTGTTTCTTAAGCATAGTATTAAGGTCCTGCATGGGAAGTTAGTGCACAGTGACTCATGTTGTTAATTTAACCATTAACACTCTTATGTGTGACATCAGTGACCACCCAAGGCTCTTGACATGAGCTGCCTAGGCTCTGAAAGCCTTCTGAATCTAAAGACTCTGTCAAAATTCAAACAAGGCCATAAGCAAAGTGAAAGTTCTCTCCCCCAGAGAAAAGTAATCCTTCTTTGATGACCATTTCTTTCCACTGGAGTCTCACCCAGGGAGGTTCTCCATGCAGGGACAACTTTTCCCACAAGTGTCCTGGCTTTCCACACCTGACATGCTCTTGTGAGCCTTTTAGCCAGACCAGAAGACCAGGATGCCTTTAGGGCTAATTCTGAGGTCACAGAGTGTTACTTAGAGCAATTGCCATTCTATGAGTCTGCTGTATGGACTGCTTCATATATTGGAGCATTTACTCCTCTATAACACTATTAATTCTCTTGCTATGATCAGTTTAACAATTAGTCCCATCTATACGACCACTTTAAAACTTAATCCAATCCAATAGGATCATTTTAAAACTTAATCTAGGGCTGGCACCGCAGCTCACTAGACTAATACTCTGCTTGTGGCACTGGTACCCCTGGTTCTAGTCCCCATTGGGGTGCCAGATTCTGTCCCGGTTGCTCCTCTTCCAGTCCAGCTCTCTGCTATGGCCTGGGAAGGCAGTGGAGGATAGCCCAAGTGCTTGGGCCCACACATATGGGAGACCAGGAGGAAGCACCTGACTCCTGGCTTCAGATCAGCACAGCGCGCCTGCCATAGCAGCCATTTGGGGGGTGAACCAACAGAAGGAAGACCTTTCTCTCTGTCTCTCTCTCTCACTGTCTAACTCTGCCTGTCCAAAAAAAAAAAAAAAACAATCTAATCTGTATAATTATATTAAAACTTAAGATGTCACTTTCACTATCTAGCCCAAGGGGATTTGAGATCCCATGGTGAAGTAAATTTAGTTGTGAAGTTACAATTTAAGCTCTTATTTTGGCTATGCTATTATGTAGAGAATGTTAGCCACTCCTTTCATAAGATCTAAAAATCAAACTGTACGTCTTGGAGAATCCCTCAGCACAGAGTCAGTTTCCCATCTTAAAGGGAATAGAGAGAAATGAGGGAACAGTGATTACAACATTAAATAACAGCTTATGAAAATATTCACTAGGATGTCCAATGCCTTTTATACATTTTAATACATATGTTTGGAAATATCTCTTAAATATCTAACACAGTGTAGCTTGCTTAACCAGCAAACTTGAGCACACAATATGAAGCATTTTAGTTTCTTTCTACCAATAGATTTAAAACATCTTACAAAGAATTTAGGTCACATGAATCAAATGTATCTTTGATTAATTTTAGCAGTTTAAATTTATGAGCAATCTTTCATTTATAGGCTAATTAAGACAGAGCTCTTACTAAATTTTCCTATGTAGGTGTACAATATATACACACATATAACACAACATACAAGACAGAACAATGAAGCAGTTTTGTTAATAGTTTCCTAAAATCTTTAGCTGTTTTTTATTATCATCAACCATTTAGAATTACTTGCTGCTCTTAATAATCTAAATTAGCCAAACTTTGTGAAGTTGGCTTTATCTGTTTACAGAACTGTCCCAGAGTATTGAACACAATAGAGGTCATGGAAAAAGAGGTCCTTTTAAACCTAAAATGATACATTTAAGCATAGAACCAACAATGTTTTAGTTTCATGAGCAGCAGATATGGTATATAAAACTGTGGATAACAAAAAATTTTAAGTAGGCATGTTTAAAATATAAACCTATTAACCAATAAGAGGTGCTTGCTTACTCCATACAATATTTTTTTAAAAAGCACTTATAGGATTTTGTAAGAGAAATAACCCTTTTAGGCCTCTGGGCCTTTCTCGTTAAAATAACCATCATATCTAGTAACACAAGATCATTAGACTTTAACCTTTAGACATTTGTATTGGTAGCATTTTATATTATCAAAATTTAAAATTTAGCACCACTTCATATCTTGATAGTACTTCTAATACAACCCAAATAGCCTGATGATTTGGTGTCTCTACAAGATGAGAGACATGTCCTTTGATATTTCCAGGTGCCTATCTGGAAATACCAAAGTCCAAAATTTTTGGAACTGAATTTTTGAATGCCTGCCAATAATACCAAGAAGGCTCAAAATCCAAAATATCTGGTCGAAATAGGATCCCTTTACATCATGACATCATATAGACAAAATTTGATCATTGTTATAAGGTGATTATATGTGTTTCAGAATAAATATGTATTTTAAACAAATCATAACCCAAATAAGAACTCAGCTGTTTTAAACAATTAGAACCTAGCAGAGACATTAAGATAACATAATAGATTAACTTAACACAAAATCTGCATCTCTTTGGTTGTTCCAAAAGTGATAAATAAAACCTTAATTTAAGAGCTGGTATATTGAATCAAATCCCATAACTTGGATGTTTTAACAGAGTCAGAACTAGGGAAGAGAGAATAGCTTACTGGAGCTGGCTAGAAAACTGAGCAGAGTCACCGATTAAACAAAGCTATCAAAAGGAGATGCTGCAGGTTTTTAAATAGATTTTTAGCAATATTTTGGAATATTTACTAACATATGCATTGTAAAGTCTTCATTGCTGTAACAGAGGATCAGATTTTAGTTCTATGTCAAATAGATAAATAGACATACATTTTGAAATAACCCTCTAGGATTCCCCACATTAAGACAACACTTTTTAAAATACAGTAACATCAAATTTCAAGCCTAGTTATTTCCAAGTGGTGTTGAACTATTTTCATATGGACAATTTATGAAAACGTGTTAGCAAGCCCAAGTGGCTTTTCTATATAGACACATTCATCTCATTAGCTTTACCCAATTTTACATTTAGCACTTACACCTAAATGACTTATGATGCTGATAGTATATATATATATATAATTATATTATATTATATCTCTATCTGAACTTAATCAAAGTCAAAACTGCATTTATCTATAACTAGTAATGATTATTTATTGCTGTTTTCATCATTGATTACCCATTTCTATAGCACTGGAAACCTTTTAAAATATATTGCAAAATAAGTTTGGCACGTTACAAAGCAATAATTTTGAAGGCAGCGATACTGCTGGATTCAAAGAGAGAAATTTTCTTGGTATTCAGTTACAAGGGGGACAACCTGTGACAGTAACTATAGGGTTAAATTGAAAAATCTTTCTCATCTGTGTCTGTATTTGGCAGCAGCAGGTTGGCATAGGAGCCTGAAGAGCCATGGGAGCCCAGGTTGGGGCTGATGGTAGTGCCCGTTCCAGCAGGAACACCAGAGACAAGTTTTGGGGAACATGTCCATTTATTAACAGCTACATACGCTTTTTAAAGAGCAGGGAGAAGGAGCATAACTAACTCAGGGGAACACTGACTATAGGACAGAACTGATACTGATACCAATATGCCTCTCCACTCAGCTTTTCTGGGGGGCCTAAAGGGCCAGGACCACACCTGGGAGCAGTTTACCTGATTGGCAGAAGGTGAGGGTGGGAGAAATGTGCCTGGGCTCAGGCTAACTGCTGGGATGACCCAGAGAGATCTATTTTCAATTGACTTTATACCACAGTGCTGGCCCCATTTGCCCATTTCTTAACTGGGTTGTTTGTTTTGCTGTTGTTTTCTCTTTAAATTTTCCCTGAGACTGCACTCCTTCCACTTTGTTAAAACTATCTTCTACTAGAGTAAAGCAGCAAGCTCCCTCCCTACTGCCATCCAGAGTAATCACATTGCTTTTATGATACTCAAATTAACCAGTATTTCTTGTATTTTTTAATTTAATAAGTCAGGCAGAAATGAAAGAATTTCATTGTGATCAAATAAGAGTGCATCAAACAATTAGACAAAAAGCTTACCATTGTGGGCTGGCATCGTGACATAACACATAACATTGTTACCTGCAACACTGGCATAACACATGGGTGCTGGTTTGTGTCCTGGCTGTTCCACTTCAGATAGATCCCTGCTGATAGACTGAGAAAAGCAAAATCTTCTGAATAGTACAGATGAAATCAGAGGAAAAATGACCCCACTACATGAGAGGCCTGAACAATGCTTCCTTTGCAGTTATGTGCTCCAGTAGATGCTATGAGAAGGCAGTGTGGCCTTCATGCCCTGTGGGTCACACATTTTCTGCAGGCTGAAGAGAGCTAACTTATATTTGGTACCTTCTATGTGCAAAGAAGTTCAGACATCTCTTACTTGCCACTTTACCTAATTAGCTTCACCTGGAGCTCTGGGCTCTCCTGTCTTAGTTGATTGCCTGGATACCCAACACATTCTGTGTCTACCTCCATCTTTGGGGACATATGAGCACATGGGAGGGTGAACACCTTCTGTGTAGCATGAAAGTAGCCATGGATGCACATGGGCATGTGTGAGCACCTTTGTGTACCAGGCACACATTGATGCATGTAATTTCTATGTGTAAACACATTTTTTACCAGGCACATGTCTGTGTATTTACGTGTACACAGGAGTACCTTCTGTGTACCAGGCACACATCCATGAATGCACATGTGCTTGTGTGAACACCTTTGTGTACCAGGCACACATCTGTGCATGTACATGTCTGCCAATACATTTGTGTACCATTCACATGTCTGCATGCACACACATGTATGTGTGTGTGTGTTAGCACCTTTGTGTACTAGGCACATATCCATGCATGCACATGTGCTTTTGTGAACACTTCCATGTACCAGGCACACATCTATGCATATAGGTTTGCCTATATGAACCCCTATGTGTGCCAAGTGTCTTTACATGCAGCAGCCTCCCACACTCCCTCTGAGGGTGATACTACTATTTTTTCCATTTTTTAGATGAGCAAAAAGAAGAGGGTAAGCCATCTTGACTAAGATACCTCAGCTGCAGTGAAGAACCCAACACTTCATTGTCCAAGCACTTAAGCCCAAGTACTTGAGTCCCAGTGTAGACCACTCCACTCACATAGTAAGTGACATATCAAATAGTCCTTGCCCCCAACTCATCTGTATCCCCAGCACTGATCCCTAAACTCTCAGGAAAGGATTCCCTCTTGTTGACTAAGTCACTCCCATCAGTGACAAATATTTGTCAAAATGAGAAATAAATTGACAAATTTTCTCATCAGCCATTTTGTTCAGTTCACCAAAGTTTGGTTACTGCCTCACTTCACTCAAGAAATCTCTGGTCCAACAATCTCTCTGTCCAAATGAGAGCTTCACCAACGTGCTGATTCCCCAAGCTGCCTGCAGCATCAGACCTCACCCTCCTGCCTATTCAGGCTCTTTTTGCTCTTGACTTTTACTGTTGCCAGTCTCTTTCACCACATAAGGTCAAGAGGCTGTCTCCTAACACAAGACCATAAAGCACAGATTCTGAACTTTCTCCCACTGTCCATGGGCCACACTTCTTAAAACCTAAACTTCTTTCATGATACCCCTCTCTTCTCATTATAAACAAGAATCTTAAGTCCAAATTCTTGGCCCTGAATCCTAGCCATCTTCACTCAGTCCCACTCACTTTCCTTCCAAACATCCTTCCCTCAGCTTAGCTGTCACTGCCCCAGCTCCACACTTGGCTGTGCCCTGGACAATGCTACTGCCTCTCTGACTTCTGCTAGCATCCAACACAGGCCTCCACTCCCTTAAACCATTCCCTACAAGGGATTTCTCATGTATTTCAGATCTTGTACTCACACTTTTGCACATGAATTTACTTCTTAGAAAGTATTATTTAATAAATTCAGTTGCTTTCTAAAGTAATTGAGATCATTCTGAGTTTTATTATCTTTGTGTAAACTTGATATAATTGTTATTGCCATTTTGTGGCATTTAATGTAGTTTTAAGATAATAACTTCACAATGCATATTTGCAATTCAAAATTTAGGAGGAAGGCATTGTCATATTCACTTTTTACATAAGACACTGAGCTCATGGGGTCTGCGCTATGGTGCAATAGGTTAATCCTCTGCCTGCAGTGCTGGTGTCCCATATGGGCACTGGTTCTAGTCCTGGCTGCTCTTCTTCCAATACAGCTCTCTGCTGTGGCCTGGGAAATCAGTAGAAGATGGTCCAAGTCCTTGAGCCCCTGCACCTATGTGGGAGACTGGGAAGAAGCACCTGGCTCCTGGCTTGGATTGCACAGTTCTGGCCATTGCGGCCATTTGGGGAGTGAACCAATGGAAGGAAGACCTTTCTCTCTGTTTCTTCATCTCACTGTCTATAACTCTACCTCTGAAAGTAAATAAATAAAATCTTTAAAACTAGACACATGAGCTCTCAAAGAGGTTAAGTTACTATCCAAGATCACACAGCTAGTAGATTGTAGACCCAGGAATTGAACATCAAAGGCAGTGTTAAGATGGAAGTTTATAGCAACCAGTGGCTACATCAAGAAACTTGAAAGACATCAAATAAATGATCTAAGGATGTATCTCAAGGACCCAGAAAAACAAGAACACACCAAACCATACTTGGAGGAAAGAAATAATTAAAATTAGAGAAGAAATAAACAAAATTGAGGCCAAAAAATATAGAAAAGATCAGTGAAATGAAGAGCTGCTTTTTGGAAAAAATAAAAAATATACACCATTGGCCCAACTAACCCAAAAAAGGAAGAAAACCCATATTGAAAATTGGAGATGAAAAAGGATTATAATGAATATCACATATAAAAAAAGAATCATCAGAGCCAGCATGGCGTAGCAGGTAAAGCTGCCACCTGCAGTGCCGGCATCTGATATGGGTGCTGGTAAGAGAATGATAAAATAATATCACTTATGAACATAGATGCAAAAATTCTCAACAAAATACTAGATAATCGACACATCAGAAAGATCACTCACCCAGACAAACTGGGATTTATCTCTGGTATGTAGGGATGGTTGAACATACACAAATCAATAACTGTAGTACATCACATTAACAAATTGAAGAATCAAGGCTATATGATTATCTCAGTAGATGCAGAGAAAGCATTTGATAAAATACAACATCCCCCAAAAACTGGAAGTTATATGAGGGCAGAAGCCATTTTCTCCCTTTCATGTCTTACATCATCCCTCACTCCATCCCAACATCAATGGTGGTAGTTCAATATATATGTTCTCTATATGTACCATAGCAAGTAAATTAAATGTGTTCCTAAAACTTATCGAGATTTTCCTGCATGCTAGCCTCTATTTTAAGCACTTTAGAAAGATTAACTCCACTATTTCTCACATAAATCTTAAGAATTATAGAATTTTATTACCCACATTTTACACATGAGAAAACAGATTCATTAAGTAAGCCTGTTAAGGAAAAGGAAACTGGCAGAGCCAGAATAAAATCCCAGGTGGTTGAGTCCATGTTCCATGCTACTACTCAACATTGGCTCCGAAGGGGCCTATTTACTGAGCTTTGTAACTGTGTGGCCAGGTTCTAATAACCTGAATTCTGTTTTGGAAGAGCTCAGTTCTTTGTTTCAGCTGAAGTTTCTGTAATTTATTCTTTCCCACAAATATAGAGCATAATCAAGCCATCTGCAAATGTAAGAAATGTGCAGCTCTGGCAACACAGAAATTCAGTTCCTTGTGGTTGCATTCCCATGGGCGTCAGTGAGGCTGGCAGGAAAGCTGTCCAACCCCAGGATGGCAAAGTGTGGGCTGCCACAAATGAACTGCAGCTCTGCATCTCATTGTTTATTCTCTTCTGTTCTCCCTCATCTATCTCTCTGCCCCTCCTTGCCAATATGAATCAGGAATTGTCATTTCTCTGAAGCAGCAATGCTTAACATACTGTGAGGCCTTCACTGGGATTTAAAATTGGGAATGTATACCATTTTGGAAATCTGGAATGCACATCATAGGAAGCTAAAAATGCAGCTGGGAAGGAGGCAGAGGGTGAGTGTCCTCAGCAGCTGCTCTGAACCCTGACTGCACATTGGAATCACATGGAACACAATTATAAAAATACTATGCCTAGTTCCCACCCCCAGAGACTCTGACCAGATTGAACTCAGGTTTACCCTGGAGATCAATGTGTTTTAAAAGCTTCCTAGATGATTCTAACATTCACCAGGGCTGAGAATGTCTGATCTAGGGTATGACTGTTGTGGTCAATGTTCATTCACAGATGTCTTTCTTCAAAGGTGAGCAGAATCCATGTTATGAATCACCAAGTTCAATTTGTATGCATCACTGCAATCTCAGAGACATTGTGTGTGCTTTGTTCTAAGCCTGGTGTGCCCAGAGGAATCATTCATTTCTGGAAGTATTGTAATCTAGAATCCAAATTCCAGCCCACCTGTTTGTCTGAATGTGTGGCTCCTTTTATTGATGAATCTTGGATACCTGGCCCAGGCAACCATCATGGAAGCAATGTCTTCTTTTTAAGCAAGCACATGCTAGAGTAGGTCAGGTCTGGCCAGCACTCACTATAGGACAGTTCTGCTCTCTGAGCCTACAAAGAGAAGGAAGTAGGAGACTTTGAGCATTTTATTTCAACCTAAATGTAAGCTTCCCTAGGGATGTGCTGGACCTGGTTATTACTGACTCATTAGAGTTAATTGTGTGTATTTTCCTCTCCTCTTCACTTTCAGTGCTTTTGTGTTGTCAGTAGGTATATATACCAGAGAAATATGCAATAGCTTCTTTTTTTCTTCTGGGAGTCTGATTGTTAAACATGAACATGCCACTGCATTTACCCAGAAATAGCTCTCTAAAGAGAAGTGAAATATAGCAGTGATTTCTGGCCTTCAGTCTCCACGTTGCACCTGTTTCTGCAATGTGCTCACCACCTTTTCTCCAAAGACATCCAGGAATTATCAAGTTTCTTTGCACATCACATATATGTAATCATATCAAAATTATCTGAATATTTATTTAGAATAAAGTATAAAAGTCTTAGAATGACTCAAAATGTGACATTATCAGGAAAATGTGCATTTTGACAAGGCTTACACATTTAAATAAAATGATTGAGTCTCACAAGGAAATATGAGACATCAATCAATGTATACAGTGAATTTGGGAAGAGGCTCTAAGGCCTTCCCAGCATCCATGCAACTGCCTAAGTGGGAAATTGTCACCTCTGCCAAGTGTGTAAGACAACCCTATTTATTCTCCAACATGAGTCAAGCCACTTTGCCTTCCTTCTGTGCGTCAGAATGCTTTCTACAACCATTCTGTCAGCTACCTTGAACTTCACTATTCTTGTGTCATCACAACAAGCTGTTGAGGACATAGACCAAAATGGGAAGAGCTGCAAGTTCTAATGAAATTGGTACTGTGGATTCTATTAGTCATGATATCTGGCTGGCATCAGTGTTACTACTTCAAAGCCATGGTCCTTCAACCCATGGAACTGAACATGTCTTGGGATTCCTCCCACTTCCTTCTCCCAGGATAACAGTAACAACTACTGGCAGTCAATTATGAACCAAGCACTGTTCTATCTCCTTTACATATATCTTATTTAATTTTCCCCCAAATTCTAATTATTCCCATCTTACATATGTAGAAAATAAGGCATAGGTTAATTAAGTAATGAGCTCAATTAAAAGCTGAAAACTACAGAGGGAATTTGGGTTTTTGAATATGGTTGTCTGACTCCAGAGCCCATTCTCTCAGCTATCCAATCACACAAACTCATATATTGATATTTAATTATAGTGCTTGTAGTCTGTTGTTTTAGGTATCATACACTACTTGGCACAGAGTGACATATCTGAAGACCTTGTCAAATTCCTTTTTAAATATTTGTTTTATTTATTTGAAAGGCAAAGAGAGATGGAGAGATAGAGATCTTTCATTCACAGATTCATCCCCAAAGGCCAGGGCTGGGCAAGACTGAAGCCAGGATTCACGAGTTTCTTCCAGGTCTCCCACATGGGTGCAGGGGACCAAAGTCTTTCACATGGGTGCTGCTTTTTTAGGTGCATTAGCAGAAAAGATTGGAACTGGAGCAGCTGGGATTTGAATCATTGGTCATATGGGATGCTGACATTGCAGGTGGCAGCTTAACCCATTAGGTCACAATGCTGATCCCTTCTCATCTTCTGACATGCTGTCAGCATCTCTGCAGGGCAACTTCCTTTCCTGGTGAAGGTGGATGGGATACGAGAGCTCAAATTTTTCATTTTGTTGATGCATGGAATATTTGTGCACACTGTTTTTTTTTTCCTAGAAATGAATTTAATGACAACACAACATATGAAAACCTATGGGATACAGCAAAAGCAGTGTTTAAGTTTAGAGCAATTAGCACCTGCATCAAGAAATTGAAAAGGCATCAAATAAATGATCTAACAGTGTACCTCAAAGACCTAGAAAAATAAGAGCAAACCAAACCCTAATTAATAGAAAAAAGAAATAATTAAAACTAGAGAAGAAACAAAATTGACACAAAATTAATAAAATGAAGAGCTGGATTTTTTAAAAAATAAACAAACTAACTAGAAAATAAAGGGAGAATATTTTTTAGAGTTATTTATTTTAAATTTTAAATTGTGACACAAAGAGAGCATGCTCCCATCCATTGGTTCACTACACTCCTGAAATCCCCACAATAGCCAGAAGGCCAAAAGTGGGAACTCAATCCAGGTCTCCCACATAAGTGGCAGGAACTTGACAACTGGCCTGCTGTCTCCCAGGGAGACAGGAAGCTGGAGTTGGGAGCTGGGAGTCAAACCCAGGCACTCTAATGTGGGAAGCTAATTTTCTAAGTGCAATGCCAAAACACTCCTATTTAATTTAGAGTAACATATGCCTAGGGATGATAAAGAGTAGACTAGGAAATGTAGCACTCCACATTTAACATGCACCTATTAAATCACTTACAGCCCCATCACCTTTCTGAGAAATGGTGGTAGTAATGGATGTCTTACCTAGCTTGGGCAAAGCAATATAAGAGATCACCTTCAAAACAAAAAGGTAAATTTATATAATTACTATGCTGATTTTGGGGACAGATTATGTGTGACTTGTGTATTTCTAAAGCAGAGAGATTAGTTAGCCCATTAATAATTACTCAAATAGGGGAGACAGTTACCTGGATACTCTATTGTGCTATGCTGATCAAAAAAAGGTTCACATTTCCTTGGTTTTCCTCTTCTCATTTCTATTCTAGTGTGATGAAAAAGTCAGTGGTTTCTTTTTGCCTATATTAAAGATGACAAGTGTTTGATTCTACCAGAATTAATTTGCAACTAAAAGGAAACATTTCTTGGAACCTTTCATTGTTTACAGTTTAAACTTTCTTTTAAAACATAACTTTCTATAAGTTAAAATTAGCATCTTCATAGATACTAGCCAAGTCACTTAATCAAAATTAATATCAAAACATGATATGAGGAAGTTGGAAATTTATTTATGTTTCTTATTTTGCTGTAGAGCTGCTGCTTCACTGCATAAAACACACCAGCAAATGCAGTATATTGCAAAAATTACGATACTATGTTCTTTATCTGGCACTGTACAACTAACAAAAACTGTGTGTATTCCCAGTTACTTCCAATGGAAAGATCATTACATATTTTGACCCCAATCCAGGGATGAGTGTAAGCAAGTTACAATATTATATAAGGCTTAAGATAACAATGTTATCCTTGAATTACATTATTTGTAAAACTAGCTTTACCACAGATAACTTCATGTATTCTGAATACCAGTGCCTAGGGGCCTAGTATGAAAATCACAAGGTACTGTGAAAAATATGCATTACAAAGTTAGGGTATATTTTCTTCCAGTAGCAGAGTTGAAACTAGTATTTCTCCCATCAAGATTGCTTAAAGTTGCAGAAGCAAGACTATGACCCTAGAATCCTGACAGAAGAGGCAAAGCAGCTTCAGAGAGCAGTGATGAGGATGCGTTGTCTTTGAGCCAGGTGATTAAATCCCTCTGATTTTTGCTGATGTTGGTTATAATCTAGCTAGTCCAGCTGTTACCTCTGTGCAAACCTAGGCTGAGAATTTCCCGAGGAAGATCTGGACCTCACAGAGCACAGCAAGCAACTTATAAATAGTATGAATGGAGGCACAATCCTGATAATACAGAACTTTGCTCTTGCCGTTAAAACCATTGCAGTACCCCCTGACCACCCAAGGCAGTTCCTGGGTCCAGCACCCACCAGGAGTCAGCTGAGTATCAGAGGCAAGAAAAAGGAGGTAACATCCACACAGGTGACAAACAAGGGTCTATTTTCCTTCCTGCTTACCAAGCTGTCCTGAAGCTCCTTGTCAGAAATGCAGTGAGGCTTAGCCTCCGACAACCAGTCTTCAAATGGGGTGATGGTGCTGTGGGAAAAATATCTGGTCTGAATCCCGAGTGCCCCTGTCCAGGTCACAGTCCCCCAAAAGCTTGGAAAAACAAAGGGTCAGCAGGCCACTGTCCTTCCATCAGGGAACCCCAAAACCAAAGACTTGGAGCTCAGACAATAGTGAGAAGAGCAGAAACAGTTCTTCATGGAGGCAAGGGGCATCTGAAGGGCCCTGATGGCCAACTCAGCCCCCAGGTTGGGTTCAAACCCCACTGGGAGGGGTAAATTACAGAGAATAACCCTGGACTTACCCTGGCCTGTTCTCTGGAGTCGAAGGCAACTCCCAGGTCAGACATCAACCTTCCAGTTACCTCTACTCTGGCCACTAGCTTCCCTAGATATCAAGGATCAGACACAGTCCCAACAAGCAGGGATCATGTTTCCTGATGCAAGTTGAAAAGAGGCCACATAAAACACCACACCTCCAAAGCCCAAGAAATTGGCCATGGACTTCCAAACACAACCCTCCAAATCAACAGTTCCCACCATCTCCTGCAACAACCTGGCCCATGAGTGAAAGTGAAACCAGATGCACACCTTGGTGGTGAAGGTCCTGATGGTACTGCTGAAGCAGTAAAGAATGAGGCATGGACATCACCAAGATCAGAAAGAATCATCACAGGAGCTGCAAAGCAGAAGCTTCGAGGTCTTGTTGGCAACTAGGGCCCCAGGAGCAAGCAGAAACAGAAGCTGATTGCTGGGGAGGTGGAGATGGTGCTGATTCCCAAGAGCATGCCTCCAGGACTCCCAAGGTAAAATAAAAAAGAGTGCAAGTGGCAATGGCAAAGTAAAAAGGAAAGGGGTCTAAGAATCTAATCTAAGAAGGAAAGACAAAGGACAGGATAAAATGGAAAAGAAGAAAGCAAAATAAAACCCTTATCCAAAGACCCCAAGTCATCATCCAGAATAAGGAGATGGCAGACAAGTAGGTGTTGTGCCGTAGGTGCACAACCAAGTGGTGACCATCCTCATGTCTATGGGCTGGAACTACATTTTTAAAATCCTTTGTCTCATAGCAAAGTCTGGCCAGCCTCAGGAGCTCCATGCTGGGCAAGCTAGGGAGCCATAGGGGAGGCTGGTCCTGTGTTACTTTTCCTAACACAGGATGTTTTGTATAGATGTGCTCAGTGTGTGTGTGTGTGTGCATGTGTGTGTTTACTCATTAAAGCCAACATGCCCAATGACCTCAGGACTTCCCATCACCGTGCTTTGTAGAAACAGCAAAACCAGCCTGCAGCTCATACTGCTCTACTTTGTCTCTGATTGATCCTCAAGCTTTCTCGTTTTTTTCAGTTTTATGTTGTTCTTTTTAAGAATTTGGAAAAATCATTAAAAGAAAAAATCATTCAGTAACTTGTTTTACTGAACATTAGAGCTCAACAACACATCACACTGTAGGATCAGTTGCTTGCTCTCATGATCATGTGGCTGATGATGGGGAGCTGTGACTTGCTGCCATTGCCCAGAATTGCCAGAGGGAGAGTCATAGCATAGATTACAAGCCTAAGGAAAAATCACAATTAAACCTGTAAATATGACTTCTATTAAATATGTATCATTTTTGCACCATCAAAAGTGGAAAATACCTAACTGAACCCTCATTAGATAGGAACCATCTATATTACATTTTTCATCTCTTTCCAAACTTCTTTTCTTTTCTTTTCTTTTCTTTTCTTTTCTTTTCTTTTCTTTTCTTTTCTTTTCTTTCCTTTCCTTTCCTTTCCTTTCCTTTCCTTTCCTTTCCTTTCCTTTCCTTTCCTTTCCTTTCCTTTCCTTTCCTTTTCTTTTTTCTTTTCTTTTCTTTTCTTTTCTTTTCTCTTTTCTTTTCTTTTCTTTTCCTTTCTCTTTCTTTCATTCATTCATTCATTCATTTGATAGGTAGAGTTAGACCATGAGAGAGAGACAAAGAGAAAGGTCTTCTCTCCACTGGTTCACTCCCCAAATGGCCGCCACTGCCGGAGCTGTGCCGATCTGAAGCCAGGAACGAGGTGCCCCCTCCTGGTCTCCCATGTGGGTGCAGGGGCCCAAGCACTTGGACCATCCTCCACTGCCCTCCCAGGCCACAACAGAGAGCTGGACTGGAAAAAGAGCAACCAGGACTAGAACCCGGCACCCATATGGGATGCTGGCATTGCAAGTGGAGGATCAACCAAGTGAGCCATGGTGCTGGCCCCCCAAACTTCTTTTTCTAAAGACTTATTTATTCATTTGAAAGTCAGTTACACTGGGGTTGAGGATATATCTTTCATCTGCTGGTTCACTCCCCAGAAGGCTGCAATGGCCAGCACTGGGCCATGGATAATGTGTATTATACAAAAAAAGTATACATGGATTTCAAATTTTTGCACAAATAAGATCTATTTGCAGGAACTCCAGCCATTTTACAGGTATGTAAACTGTAGTTGATGTACTATGATTATCTGGGAATACAAAGAATTATTCTCTAATGGATGAAGCAATAATTTACTAATCAGAACCAATGTGTATCAGGCACAGGAATGGAAATAACTTGTAGCCCTTAGGCACATGGGAGTGGAAACACTGGGAGGTGGACAGGGTCTGCACATACAAGGTTTGGAAAGAGAGGAGGAGATCAATAGGCTGTAGATAAATCCGTGCTAGAGAAAATTATATCCTGATTATATTAGAATGAAACACTAAAAATCAATCAGCACAACTTCTCAATAATTAAAAAGAAAAACACATGGCGGGCACTGTGGCGCAGCAGGTTATTCCTCCACCTATGGCACCGGCATCCCATATGGGCATCAGTTCTAGTCCTGGCTGCTCCTCTTCCAATCCAGCTCTTTGCTATGGCCTGGGGTAGCAGTAGAAGATGGCCCAAGTGCTTGAGGTCCTGCACCCACATGGGAAACTGGGAAGAAGCTCCTGGCTCCTGGCTTCGGATCGGCACAGATCCAGCCATTGCGGCCATTTGGGGAGTGAACCAATGGAAGGAAGACCCTTCTCTCTGTCTCTTCCTCTCACTGTCTGTAACTCTACCTCTCAAATAAATAAAATCTTTAAAAAAAAGAAAAACAGTGAAGTATATAAAATAAAAGCAGGCAAAATGATATAGTAGATGTAAATTTTTTTTTCACTCTTAATAGTCATAAGATTAACCCTACAGTAAGTAAAGAGTTTAACAAATAGTATGAGGAAGAAATGTTCCTCAACAGTAGAGATAAGGGCTGTAAATAATCAATGAAGCTTAAAATGTCAATTTCACTCCTATATATTACATTTTAGATGCTCTATTATATACCACAAATTAGGGAAAACATATGATATTTGTCTTTTTGGGGCTGGCTTATTTCACATTGAGATGATGGTTTCTAGTTGCATCCATTTTTTTGCAATAGACAAAATTTCATTATTTTCACTGTGAGTAGTATTCCATAGTGTATTTATGTCATAATATGAAATGCTATTTAAAAATATCACAAAGGATATACACATTATTGTTAATAAAATTTATGAACTATGAGTAAAAGTAATTAAGGTAACACAGGGAAGAGTAACACTAATATCCAGTTTCAGGTATTAAAAACAATTCTTTACAGAGTATATAGCATTGTCAAGATGCTAGAAAAATTTTGTAAAACTCTTATGAGTACAAATTTTACTAGGGATTAAAATCCACAACACTTTAAAAATCAAATTCCCAAAACACAAATATAAATTTTCAAAATCCAATATAACAAATGTAAAATAGGAAAACTCCAAATTAAACCAAGAAAGTTGAATCATAATTTGAAGACTACCAACCAACAAAAGTTACAGGAGTAAAACTTCAATTATAGAAACAAAATATTCCAAACAATTTAAGGAATAAAAAATAGCCTATATTTCCCAGATGTACCAAAGTATAAATAAGCAGAGAATATTTTCAAATGTCTTTTAGAAAGCCAGCATTACAATGATGCAGATAGACCTGAACCTGAAATATGAATTAAGTATAAGCCTCTCTTTCTTAAACAGATGCATATATCCTTAGTATTTTTATAGTAAATAAAATCAAATATGAAAATATAATGAATAACAAGTGCCACATAAGAAAAAAATGCAAAAGGTGGTTAACATTTCTAAACAAGCACTGTATAGTTTCCAGGTAGGTGAAAAACTTGAAAACTTGAGAGAAACACATGACCATTTAGATTAAATGTTAAGAAACATTTAGAAATGTATGTAATTAAAAATCTGCTAGCGGCATAGTAAAAACTCAATGGCTTTCTTATTTGGATTAATATATTTAAAAGGATTCTATAACAAACAACACAATTAATACGGGATCATTGATAGCTTTTTCACTGTAAGTAAACCTAGACCAGGATGCCTCCACTGTCTCCAGCTTCTTACTGGGGAGTAGTCAAGGGAAGGGGAAAGAGCAAAAAGAAAAATAAGGAGTAAAGATCAATTTCTAAACAATAAATTGCCAATAAATTGGAGATATTTATTTAGAGAGGATCCATAAAATCTAAAAACAAATAGAATTGAAAACTGATTTTAATGAGATTGTGAGAAAGATCAATATTTTTAAAACCTACTAGATTACCATGTACCAGCAAAAAAACAAATGAAAAATATTAAAGGTCAGTAGGCAGAGTGGAAAACAAATATTGACAGAAGAAAAGGAAAAAAAAAAGAATTAAATCATGTGATGTCTTTAAGCATTCTTCAAATCAACATTAAAAAGTATTACAAAAGACCCAACAGAAAAATGAGCAGAAATATGAGGAAAAAAAGAGGCCCAGACCTGAAGCATGTTACTTACCACAAGCTCCAGGCAGGACCCGCCAGGGAGAAGGATGGGGCGACACTCGGCGACCCTAGTGAGTAGCAGGAGCGCAGAGGTGAGAGGCCCTCCTGCTGATCCCATCCAGCACAACCTGAGGTTCCAGGTCCATGCTATGGGGGAATGCCATTTGGCTACATCTTCTGTGAAGCTGCCTGCGCTCAAGGCCATGCAAGCTGTCCATTCAGGCATGGTGACGCCCACGAAAAGTCATCACGTGGGGTCTTGACATCACAATCTTTCAGTTATGAGGTGGAGCGTGGAGAGGGAGAGGTCTTTGCTGCCGCGAGGCTCCCGAGGCTCGCAAGGGAAGTCGGACTCTG